TCCTGCTTGGCGGCCGACTCGTCCCAGGGCCCGCAGTCCGGCCCTCCAACGGTCTGAGGGACAGTGAACTAGCCCCGTTTAAAAAGTTTGAGGACCCCTGGTCTAGAAGATACAAAGACGGGTATCAGTGATGAGGTGGGGTTGATTTCAACTGGTCATGCTGATTTTGTATGAGTTGAAGCACCCATCTGCTACTACTAAGTCCTTGATTAGTAGAATATTAATGAATTATCCTGAAAAGGGTTACTCAGTATTCACTCTAGCATTCCTTAGGGCCCACGGTACTTAAAATACCTTGCTAGAATAGAAAACTTCGAGATGGAAAACACCAAGGTTAGATCAAGTGTGTAATTACTGGGAATAATACATGAGGTCTGATGTTAAGCGACCTGATTAGGCTAGGTGTCAACACTGCTACTGGTTTTCTGGTGAGAATAGGTAAACCAAGTATTTTAATAGCTCCACTTTCTCACCACACTCTTCAAAAAAAGCATCCTGAGGGGTTTTCTCCATGAATTGCTATCCTGAGAATAAAGGGATGTTATTTCGGAAGTGGGTTTTCAATTTGTCTGCAAGGCAAGGGTTGAATCGCCCGATTAGGGAAAAAAAAAAAAAAAGTCCTCTCGCAGATTTCCTCCCAGGTAACTAATAAGCACAAGGACTCGGAGCTCAGGGCGCGCGGGACTCCCACCCCAGACCTCCCGAAGCAACCTGCAAGCGCGCCCGGCCTGGGGGCAGCGCCAACGCGCCGGCCGCCCTCGCGGGCTCGCAGCAAGCCGGCGCCGCAGGGAGGACGCCACGCGCGGCTGCCCCGCCGGCGCGGCCCCGCGGTACCTGGTGCTCCCTTTTGGCGGAGGGCTCCTCCTTCACCTCCGTCACAAACACACACGGCACTTTCCGCTGCACGGAGCCCAAGCGCCTCATGCTGAGTCCGGCAGAGTGCTAGCGGAGAAGATGCGCTCTTGAACGGCGCCCGCGCAGGCGGGGAGGGAGCGCAGCAGCCGCCAGCCCCCGGCGCAGGCCACTCCCCCTCCGCGCCCAGCGACGGCGGCTGCGCCCGGCGACGCCAAACCCAGCGCGAGGGATGGGCGCGCAGCCCGGAAGCGGCCGTGGGGGCGCGGCGCCTTCTGGGAGTTGTAGTGCGGGAGCGGAGGCGCCGGGCGCGCGCCCACGTGCGTGCCCCGCAGGGTTTTGACAACCAAGTAAATACTGAGATCCGCTTCTGGAGCGTGTGTACCTAGCCACACCTAGTAACCGATGATAGTTTGAAATTAAATAATACAAGATTGTAAGTGATGACCACTTCGGATGGCGGTTTAACACCATGCTAATGAAACCTCGTTGCCTGTTCTTTTTTAACAAGTCCATGGGAAAGCTCTCTAGAAGTTTAGTAATATCTACTTTCCCAGATTCCCAAGCGGAATGAAAATTGGTTTCCCAGGAAGAATGTCAGAAAACGCTGCAAGTTAACACCTGGCGGGATAAAAGCTACCTGTTGAACTACGTCTAACTGTGTAGCATATTGTGGTCGAAGTTGCTTCTGATGTTCTTTGCGGAGTGAGTGCGAAGTTTAACCTTAAGACTAATTCAAAACGATAGAAATCCCAACGATCGGACTTCAGTCTCAAGTTCTTCACTGGACTCCTATTTACTGAAAGACGAGCTCCGAATGCGTACAAATAAATGGCTTGAGTAGTTGTAGCTGTCAGCTGCAAATCTAAAAGCAGCTTTGACTTACTGCTCAAAAGAATATTACTAAGTAATAAGACAATGTTTGAATAAAATAAATATTAAATATTTAGTATCTATCTCAGAACAGCTAGAATCCTCAGCCTGAAATTGTAGAGGAATTTTAACTTGACTGCCATCCTTGCCGTGTTAGGACAAAGCCCAGGTCTCATTTCTTTGTCTTAATCCGCATATTTTATCCTATAGTCCAGCATTTTACTGAATTAGTCCTTGGAAAAATTAAACAACTATATCTCACTTGGAGGTATTTGGTAAGGAGTTTCCCGTAGAATGAAATATCCCTTTAAAAAAAGTTCATTGTTTTATGATTGCTGGATTAAGAGGGGAGGTAGGAAGAGATTTGGCGTTTCAAAGTGTTTATTTTCTTTTCTGCTGTCTTTTATTTTTTCACAGGAAAATACAAAAAGTTCTACAACCCACCACCCCTCAAATTTCCCCTCCCCCCTAAAAACCAGAAAACAAAAAACCCGATGCTGACTGTGTGATAGTAGAACAAGAAAGCTCTTAGCATTTTATATTCAAGAAGCTGACTTCTTTGTTCCTCCACAGGAAACCGAAAAAGCACCTTGTTGGGAGTCTCAAAAAGTCAACAATTAAATAACCTTCACAACTACCAACTGTCATTTTCCAAACTGCCACAGAATCTTCTAGGTCCAGCATTCTGTCATTTCTGAGAAATTATCACCTTCTAAAACCTTCCACTTGCTCTTTGTAGTAGCAGCAAGGCTAATCATCCCTCAGGAAGCACTCTCTGTTTCCACCCCTCATCAGTGACTGGAGCAAAGCTTCTGGCAGAAACACAACAGTCCAGCTCAGGGGAGAACCAGAGGACCAATTAACAGTTACAAATCGGACTCTTAACCTGATGGGCAGCAGCCTTCAGTTGTGCCTGATTGTCATAACCCTGAAGAGTCACCAAAGAATTGCTACCAGTCACTGTACTTAAAGTGATATTACAGTATTAAAGGGGCAAACGATTTTCTTCTCTGATATGTTAGCACTCTAGCATGCACCAAAGATGAAAACCACTCAACCTGAGCCTGCTTTGGTCAACACAAAATGCTTAATAGAATCTTCAGCCCTGCTCGCAGCTGTGGAGACAAATTTCCCAGCACTCTTCATTGTAATCAGTAAAAATCCTCCTGAATAGGATCATAGCTCTCTGTGAATGAAATTCGCAACAGGAAAGAATAGAAGTGAAGAGAATTAGAAAAAGGAAAAAAGATGTGGAAAAGACAGAGAAGGAAAAGAAAAGTTTGCAAAGGAGGAAAAAAAATAGAACTCCAGGCATTCTAAAGACTCCAAAAATGTACAGATCTATTTAATGAGCTCTGTAATGACAAAAAAAAATCTTTTCTTATGTGAGCTTGTCCAATTTTTGCTGTGTCTACTGGAATGTGGCTGTTTACATCTGACTTGAAGAGGTAAAAACATTTTCTCAGCCTTGGGGAAGGGTGAAAATGAAAACTTTTTTTATCCATTGTAAAACATGAATTCTCACAGTGATTTTATGATGTTACATGTAATCATGCAGTAATGTTTGATAAAAGTATCTGAAAATAGTACAATGAAGCTACAAATTCACAGGTAGAAAGGGAATTTATTTGAATGAGAGACACTTAAACAATGTTTCTTAGAGTTGTTTTTCCCAATATGCTATGTACTTAAGATGAGTGCTTTGTTATTCTAGAGTTAAAAGGTAGGACAAAACACGGTGAAGATACATGTTTTTCTATGTAGGTTGCTGAGATTTTCAAGAGTTTAACAAAATCTTCATTCTCTACTTCTTCATGTCCAATAAGACCTAGTTCTTTTATATATATATAGATAGATAGATAGATAGTCTTATTTATAGGAGAACAACTTTATCCAGAATTTTAGTTTCCTGTTTTATTTCCTATATTTTTATCCTAAAACATTGCATTCAAAAAGTTTATAGCAGCTTAGGCTGTTTCACTAACCAAAGTGGGAATCCATACTTGTCTTAATCTTTTAAATTTCCAGTTAACAATTTACGCCAATTCAAAAATGTATTTTTATGTAATGTAATCTGTCATTTTTATGGCATCTTTTAAGTCATCTATAATTAATATTTTTAGGAACTTTACAACTAGGTTTTAATTCTTTTCTTTCTTTTTTTTTTGGGCTGGGGTTGGGTTTGAACCCTCCACCTCCAGCATATGGGGCTGGTGCCCTACTCCTTTGAGCCACAGGCGCTGCCCCTAATTCTTTTCTTAAAGCTTAAACATAATAGGTAAATATGATACCCATATTCCATGATAACAAATGCAATTATTTAAATATGGTGCCATGCATGGGACCAGCTCTGTAATCCCAGAACTTTGGGAGACTGTAAGGGAGGATCACTTGAAGCCAGTAGTTCAAGACCTGCTTCAGTAACATAGCAAGACCCTAATCTCTACAAAATGTATTTTTTTTTTTTTAATTAGCTAGGCATGGTGGCATGGGCTTATATAGTTCTAGCTACTCCACAGGGTGAGGTGGAAGCATCACTGGAGCCCAGAAGTTCGAGGTCACAGTGAACTATAATCTTGCTACTACACTTAGAGCCTGGGCAACAGAGGAAGATCGTGTCTCCAAAGAAAAACAAGGACACGAAGCTGAAGACCTCAGTAACTGCTGATTGAAATGTCTCGTCCCGGAATGAATATTTCAGTTTGTTTTCAACAAATGTCCAAAATCTTCAAGCACTCTGGAACCTTTCTGCTATAAGAAAACGCTGCTCCTCCTTTGATAAGACATAGCTGGATAGAGCTACAAGATGAATAAGTAGTCTGATTTATTCTCAGGTACTTATTAATATATCACAATCTCAATATGATTTTTTTTTTCACAAATCAGTGGCTACCAGAGAATCCATATTTAACTCATTGCATTTAACATCATGGAACATGGGTATCGTATTTACCTCTTAGGTTTTAAAATTTTAGTTTTATGTCTAAATCATAGAAACAAGACGGTTTAGAAAATTGCCATTTCCTTGTGAAATACTTATTACTTTTTAATTATGAAAGTATAAACTAGTTTACTTTCCATATGCAATCATAACATCAGAAGATGAAACATACCATCTTATTTTAATCTACTAGAGTTGAGTAAGGGAAATACAGTATTCACTGAGGTCAAGTGGCTTACAGTTACATGTGAGGTCATTTATGATGAGCAAACAATGGATTAGGTAATAATGAGGAAAATTCTGGAAGTCTGAGTTTGTGTGCTTACTAGCAACCACTTTCAACATTTCTGCAAAGCTAGAGAAGGTATCTTGTAATTTAAATTTCTTTAAGAATTATCTATTTTGTAATATACTGTCAACAGGAGGTCAGTTTTAAAGGAATACTGCTGATAGCCTGAAAGACTGTGGAAAAGAAATTTTTTCCCCCTTACACACTGATAGTTCTTATATTTGCATTCCTGCAATTCTTATATATATATTTAAAAAAAAAACACATTGGATTAGCAGCAAGAGAGTTGAAAATGGCAGAAGTTGGGAATGACTGCTATTTCTTTTTTAATTCCACATGCATAAAGGTAAATATTGTACAACTTACAGTACTTCACATGCTTAAGCCTTCTAGTAGAATGAAAGAAGATATGGCAATGATTTGCATTCCTTAATCACAATTTACTATTTTCCTACCAAATATTTATTATGTGTAAAATCTGAAGTGAAATCCTATGTATTTTGGAATACTGAATTTCTCTGAGAAAATCGGGGAGAATTAAAATTATGAGTTGTTTGAAACTATCCTTGTCTATGCCAGTTACATGCCTGGAGCTTTTTAAACTTCGTGTAGCACTTCCGTTTGTCCTATTGCTCCTTCAGACATCACATCCTAATATTTGAACATTATATGATACATCATATTGTTTTGGTTCATGTGATTTCATTCATAACAATTCAAATAATCCAATTCAGGTCACTATTGAACTTAGTCTAGTAAATCTAATTGTTTCCCTATTACTGAGTTTTCTCGGGTCAAAAGTCAAAGTGATGGAAAATAGTGTATTTAACTATAATAAAAAAGAAAAACTAAAGTGATATAAACAAATCGGCTACATATGAATTTAAGTTTATAAAATTAGGAAGATGTTTCACCCATGGAATTAGGATTCATGGATCTCAATAAAACCAAATAAATGTAGCAACACACTTACTGAGTTTATTTATGTCAGGAGCTTCATGCTCATGCTACAATGAATCTGATTAAAGAGATGATGTATCTGGTTTGATGTATTTCATATCTGTTAGGAAGCCCGACAGGATTGGCTAATAGAGACCATCTCCTCCATTAGAATATGGCCAGTGAGTCTTACCAATTTTGTCTGGCTTTCTTCAGAAAGGTAAATTGAGTCATTCTGGCGTTGGACTGTGATCAAGGGTATCCCTGACCTCTTATATCTGTATTCTTAGTGAACCACACGGATTAACTGATAACAGAAAGTAGCATTTTATCAGTGACTTGCAGTACGTCACACTATTTGATCTTTAGATTACGTTGTCACTTTCTCACTAAAGTTAGACTAATTTGCTAAAACTTAGACTTATGGTCTTGTATTGGCAGCGTGTGTTTTGTGATTCTAATTTGATCTGCTCATATTTTCTTTATTAGCAACCTGTTGCTGTGAACGCTAACGTGAATATGTCGTTAATATTTTCTATACTGTCTACTTTTTTCTTTTAGGGTTCCCAGTGCCGATTCCGACACTGTGAAGAGGCCCTTGGTAGTGACACTGTGTGCTCATTATGGAGAGAGAGGAAATGTTTAGATCCACTTTGCAGATTTAGACACATGGAAATGCAGGTAGAATTTATTCAGCCTCATCATTCTTGTTAAAAGCATTTCCCTCTAATAACGCTGGATTATACTTTTACAAAGCCATAGGAAAAAATCACTTTTCCTGTATTTAAATTTAGGCATTCTGCACTTTGTTCAACTTAAAAGCTTAGAAAAATGGAGGAACACATCTTAGAAATATCCATTGCACTTTTTAAACAGCGGGGCTTAGAACTCTTGAAAGCCAGAAAACACACATGATCCTCAACCAGTAGTTGCAACTGTTTGTGTCACATAGCATTGTGTTACTGTAGCATGTTGTACTTACTATGTAGATGGCATCTAATCATTACATTCCCCCCCCCCACCTCCTTTGTCTAGCAAAACTGCAGCATTTCATGCTTCTGGGAAACTCAACCTCTTGGTTGTGTGAAGATTAGTTGTATCTTTTATCACAGCAAACCTCGAAATATCAATGGATTATTTTTGCCACCAAGTAGCAGTGAGTATCTATTTTTTTGAATAACATGGACGTGCCATATTATAATCTGGTTTGGGAGTAGTAGCATAGAATGACATATTAAAGAAAGTGTGACAAGGGGAGCAATGCTGGTGGCTGATTTGGGATGATCCGTCGTGAATCATGAGATAAAGCTTAGCATGAGCCACCAAGTAGCTAACAAGATGAAGTGACCAGAGAAAAATTTATCCAACTATTTGTGTCTAAAATGGATTTTCTTTCATCTGGAAAGTGAGACGGCCACTGACTTAAGTAGGAGGAGATCCCAGCAGAGCATCACACAGATGAAGCCAAGGTCAGAGGTCTTGACCTCACTGCTGCTCCCTGTGATATGTGGAAACCTATTATCATAGGTGGGGAGAGCAAGGGCATGCTCTGGGTTACACACTTCTGCTGCTAGCAGAGAGCCACACACTGTGGTTTCTCCTAAGACGTCAGTTGTGGAGAAAATGCAATCCTATTGCTACAAAGGCTGTGGCATCATTCAGTCTAAGTAGATGACTAAGACACTACAATGAGGTAAACCTGAAGGTAGGTCCTGGGAAGGGGAGAGGGAAACCTTGCAGAAGTTAGAGCCGTTAGGTTTCCATGTTGCTGTAGCTAATCTATTGCTATGGCCACCAAATTTCTCTGCTCAGATGGTTCTAGAAATGAACCTGTAGGATATGTGTCCTTCAGGAGTCGAAAATTCAGCTTCAAGTAAACCTTGGCAAACGCATGACTTAAAATTGGGTTTCCCTGCCACATTTTTCTGGAAAACTCTGGCCTTTTAGGATATATTACATGTACATAGAACGTATCACGTGTGACCTAAAATACCTTGATGGATGTTTCTCTTCCTCCCAAGACTGTAAACATCACTAGGATGAAGATCATAACTAGTTTTGTTTTCTTCACTGCTTTGCACGGTATCAGGAACACAGAAGCTCAGTAAAAGTGGATGTATGGATAGAGGAACTGGAGGCTGGATAGTAACTTATGAAAGGGAACCTAACTGGGATGAAAGTTAATACACCTACTTAGAGATTAACTTGGCCTCTTCAGTTTACAGGTACTATAAAGTTATTTCATGAAGAACGTTGCACTGAATTATTTATATCTAGGTAGTAGATAGTTCCTAGTAGTCAATGGGAAAGTTATTATATTCCAGGACTAGAAGAAAACAAAGACTGCATCTCCTGGAAAGGAAGAGAGGGCCATTAGTAGGCCCCTCCGCTGTCAGACATGCCCTGGGCTAAGTGCTGTAGCAGTTTAGTTTATTATGCTTATCACATCAAGTCCATGTATGTGTTTTGGATTCCCCGGGGCTAGTTCTATTGTCTCGTATTCCTGTTTGTGTCCTGTCAAGAAACCATCTCTCAAAGCGACTCCCTGCTATACCTGTTCTGTCCTTTTCACTCACTCCCCTCTGACCCTCCATTATCGGTATAATGCTTTAGCTACTTCTCCAACTTTCCTTCATATTCAGATGCTATCCTGAGAGTTTTCCAGTGAAGACCCTCCTTCTTCTGTAAGCATTTTTCCCAGCCCTCAAGTACTGCTGGACTTGGAGGTGAGATGGGAAGATTCCTTGGTCCTCATTGCCGATTTCAGATTGCTTTCTGGCATTTCTCTCCAAAATCATCCAGCTTGAATCTCATCCCAGAAGAGTGTATCACTTTTATCCCTTCATGTTATTTTTTTGCTTTTGTCTACAGGCATCTAGGTCCTGCTTTCTTTTGTTGTTGTTGTTGCAGTTTGGCCAGGGCTGGGTTCGAACCTGCCACCCTTGGTATATGGGGCTGGCACCCTACTCACTGAGCCACAGGCGCCGCCCATAGGTCCTGCTTTCTTGTTTACAAATATGAACTCCTGCTTTGTCACCCTAGCAGTACTCCTGTGTCGATTCTGGTGACTTCAGTGGATGAGTGTCTGACCTACCCATCACCTCGGCCTCTCTGTAACTCTTCCTTTGACCTTTGCCTCCCCTCATTTCCATCCCTCTTCTTTAGTCATAGTGTTTAGCTCCTTAGCCTTTAGAGAATGTTTAGTTACCCACTGTCCTATTGCAGTGCTTTCAGAACCATCATTTAAACAATTCTTTAAAACCACGGGGACCTACAATTCATTAATTCTACCATCATTTCACAATCTCTCAGCCTCTTAATATTTTTTGCCACCGTCACAAGGTAATGTTCCCTTTGCCGCACCCTCCACTTTCTTGCCAGGCAACTGTCACACTGTCTAAGCTCCACTTTCCACCTGCTCTGTGCCTGCATCCATTACAGCTAAGCACACAACGATGATGAGTGGGTTAAATATCTGACCACAGACTTCCAAGGGGCCCTCACTGCTGACTGACAGCCGCACTACCTGATACACCCCCTTTAACCCCCATTCACCCCTCTTCTGTTATTTGACACTTCCTTCCCTCTTCTTAAACCTCCAACACCTCCTCCTCCTCTCTGATGATAACCTCATGTCTTAGTAACCGAGAAACTTTTAAGTAATGAGCACTTCCACAGATTACCATCGCTCCATCTACCCACCTGCTAGCATCTGTACTAGCCTCCTCCCCACTCTTACCATAAATGAATTATCTAGACTTCTAAGCCTGTCCTTCCACTTAGTAGTACCCTCTTGTCTACTCAAAAGCACTGATTCACCAGTTCTTCCCTATCTCTTCTACAGAATCATTTTTTACTGTTATTGAATTATTCCTGTCATCATCCAAGCATGTATTTCTCTCTCTAATTATGAGAAAAATTCTTTCTTTTGATTCATTCTCTTGCAAAGTACCACCCTTCTCTTATTCCTATCACCGTATTCTTTTTGAAGTGGGTATTCTTGCTGTCACTAAATTTCCCCCTCCTTCCGTCCTTCCCTCCCTCTCTCCCTTCCTTCCTTCCTCTCTCTCTTTACTTCTTTTGTTAGAGAAAGGGTCTCACTCTGTTATCCAGGCTGAAGTGCAGTGATGCCACCATATCTCACAGCAACCTCAAACTCCTGGCCTTAATGGATCCTCCTTCCTCAGCCTCCCAAGTAGGTAGGACTATAGGCATATACAGCCATGCTTGGCTTTTTTTTTTTTTAGTAGAGACAGAGTCTCAGTACGTTGCTCAGGTTGTTCTCCAACTTCTCTCCTCAAGTGATCCTCGTGACTCAGCCTCTAAAAATGCTGGAATTATGGGTGTGAACCACCACTGCGCCAGCCTCCCTTCCATTCTTTTTCATTCCCAAGCTGATCAGTCTTTTTTAATCCCTTTCAGTCAGTGATATAAACATTGCTGAATTCAGGAGTCCAGTCTCAGTCCTTAAACAACTGGAGCATTGGCAGGATCTGACACACTTGATCACCCCTTCCTTCTTGATAGGATTTCCTTATCTTTCCAGAACACCACTTTCTCTTCCTTTTCCTCTGACCTTCTCGGTGTTCTGTTACTGTACTCCCTTGCTGGTTTTTCCTCATTCCTCCAACCTCTTATATGTGCAATGCCCCAGAAGTTCGTCCTTAGTTCACTTTTTCTCTGTCTACTGCTCTAGTAGTAATCGTATCAAGACTTATGACTTTGAATGTGATCCACATGTCAATGACTCCCAAATTTGCGCATCCATTCCAGACCTCTTCCTTGAACTTCAGATCATTATATTCAACTTCTGAATTGAACTCTTAGCTTGGATAGCTAAAAGATATTTCACACTTAAATGCTCAAAGCTTAAACTCATAATTTTACCCATATACTCTCAAGCCTGCTACATCCCTAGCTCTTTTTGTCTTGTTTTAATAGAAACTTCATTCTTCTAGTTGCTCAGGTCATTGGAATCATCCTGAAATTTTCTGTTTCTCTCATATTCCACATCCAATCCATACAGAATTTGTATTAACACCTAATATTTGTATAAAATCTGACTTTTCTCATCATCTCTGCTGTTCCCACCTGGGCCAAGCCATCATTATCATGTCGTGACTGGAAAACTGTAGTAATCGCCTAACGGATTTCTCTGCCTTAATTCTTGCCCTTCTATGCCTGTTCAAACCACAGCAGGCAGAGTGATACGCCTTACAGACTAATCAGAAGCTTCCTCTCCGCTCAAAATCCTCCAATATCTTTCATTTCACGCAGGCAAGTGAGAGTGAAACAAGAGACTCCTCTGAGATGGTGCCCTATTAGCTCTCTGAATTTATCTCCTACACTCCTATACTCGCTGACCCTACTCCAACTAAACTTTTTCTTTGTTTTTCCTAGCTTGTGTTAGTTAGCGTGCTCCTGTTTTGAGGGCTCTACAAGAAATGCTCTTCCCTCAATATCTTTATGGCTAACTCCTTTATCTCTTCAAATCCTTTCTCACAGATCACTTATTAATAAGGTCTGTTGTGAACACTCTATTTGACATGTAGTCAGCCTTTCCACCACCCCTCCCACACACCTGCAGTCTTCTTGCCTCTCTGTTTTTTTGCCCCATCTCCTATGGCTTTCTCAGACACAGCATGCTGTACTTGTTTGCTATGTCTATTGTTTGTTGTTTTACCCCTCCCTGTAGAATTCAAGGTTCATCAAAGCAAGAACCTTTATTTTGTTTCCTGATAAACCTCACGCTCCTAACGTAGCCCCGCAGTATCGTCTCTCACATAGTGGCCAGTTCTACCCCGGGAAGTCCTAGACGGTGATTTTTCATGTTAAACCCACAGCGACTGTCCCTCTGCCCAAACTCAACCATCTATCTACACTCTAGAAAAAAAGATTCAATTTCCAGACTGTGGGCAAACTGCCCAGCTCAGCAGAAGTATGTATTGAGCTATTGCATCACATAGCTCTGTTGGAAATACGTTGATATCTCAGAAGATGTAATCTGATTCTTGGTAGATCTAGTATTTCCTACAGTATTTGCACCAAGGCTCACATTAGCCAAAACTGGAACCCTAACCCTTTTCTCCTTAGACAAAGATTATAAAGTAACACCTTTATGAAAATCTACCTTTTTGTCTTTCTGTAAATGCCCAT